AGGTTCCAAAAAACATGCGTGGCAGGTTAATGGAACACGTTAAATTGTCTCTAGGTGTGAGTGTGAGCACAAACGGTTGTTTGTCGATGTGTGCCTGGCGATTGGCAGGTGCCCAATTCAGGGCGTCTCCCGCCTACTGCCCGAAGCCAGCTGGGATAGGCGCCAGCACGCCCGTGACCCTCGTGAGGATAAGCGGATCAGATAATGGAAGGAATTTTATGGATATTACAAACACCATTTCACAATCCCGAGTCTTCCCATTTTTTGGATAGCCACGTCATTTCTCAGGAGAATTCCGCTGGGTTCAAAAAGGAATTATACACAATTTCATAGGTGGCCCAAAAAGTATTTTTTTTTCCCCCATGACTTACAGAAGGGGTTTCCAAGAAAAAGCTTTTTGGTCACTTGGCTGGCACGAAAGCTTTGGCTGTTGCCTTCTGGAGCATTTCCAGTGTGTCAGCGTCGGACGTGGCAAATCGACAACTCGCACAATTGTGTCAAAACTATTTGCAAAGGATACTGCAGGTACAAGGCGGGTTGCGGCACGCATCCACGCGGGGACCTCAGAACGGTGTCTCGGCGAGCGTGCCCATGGCAGAAGAAGCGTTTGGAGCGGCAAAGCGAGAGGCACAGCTGCTTGGAGAGGGCTCTGTGGCATTTCTGTGTCTGTAACCCCTCTCCCGCCAAACACTCACGCAGACACACACAGCCACGCACACGCCAGAGCATACTTACAGTTTACGCTCGTACATACACGCACACTCTAGCACTCAAGCCGTCGCCGCGTCCGACGAACACATAGCTCCTAAACGGTGTCTTCCCCCCCCACCGCCTGACCCCCAACACCCCCGTTGACTTTGTTGACATTTCCGTCTATTTATCAGCGGCCCCAAGAAGAGGATTGTGGCGCGGGAGGCAGCGTGGCAGCGCGGAATGGCGTGGGAAAGGTGGCAGCTGTGTTATGACTTCTCTGCCAGGTCATGGCGCATGGTAGGATGGATGCCTCCTGTCTCTCCTTTACTCTGTCATGACCGATCAGTGTGTTTGTCTTGCCTTCCTCTTTCTCTCTTTTGACCTGAACTGCGACCCGTGTCGTTTTCGACTCGCTCGCTGGAAAATATGTCCGAACGTTTCATTGGAATGCTTTGCACGCCGTGCGCACGGAAAAAGGCGATCGGAGATGAAATGAGAAACACGGTTAGCATTTCCAAGACTAGCGCGTACGACACGCTGAGCCAAAGATGGTGGTTTCGTTTTTGTTTACCGTGAGACACTTTCCATCATCTTAACTTTCTCCTCAAATCTGCTCACAAGATACTTTGGAGAGAAGACATGAATGATTGACGACATCAAACATATCTAGGTCTGATCCCCAAGGATGTGAGATTTTAATTTAAACCCACAGGAGGAAATGGATTTTATGCAGGCCAAGAGACCTAATTCCATGTTTGGTCCACATTTTCGAAACAGGAACCTTACCTGTTGTGCCAGATTCAGTCCTGCCCTGATCTTGTGTTGACCTTTTGCATATGGTACACTGTTGATTGCGCAGTCACTGTCCTATCTCTGTGTCGGACTTTCAGGTCAATTATCCCAGATTCTGTAGTACATTGATAACATCAGTCATGCCCATCTCTTGATATATAATTTTTATTTATGATCCGTGCAACGTGCAGTGTTGATCACAGAGGTGTCTTGAGGCCTGACACAGTTTGTAAACCCGCGGGTTCCTCTCGGTGCCAGCCAGAATTGGGGCCCCATGCGGGGATGCAGGAGATGGCGAGCGGGGAGGAGGAATGGAGGGGTCACAGGGTGCTAGGGAGGCACAGAGAGGGGCACGGGCTGGGCATGGGCAGCCTGGCAAAAAGAGCAGCCCTCCATCTGTGCCACTCAATGCCTCAGCTCCATGACATACACAATGTGCACGGTGCGGACGCCAAGCCACGGTGTCGAACAGGGGTTGTCCAAACTTTTGTCGTTGGAGGGCTGCGTTAAAAAAAAATGGAAGGATGACAGGCCTACTTTTGGAAACTTGCTCTAGTCAGTCAAGAAAGCAATTCGAGATTGTTTTTTTGGGGTTTTTTTTTTTTTAGTTTTGCAAATTCTTTATATCCCAAGTCGAGTCAGATGATGAAGATGGGGCTGCTAGACAAGTGAGCAAGAGGAAGACCTAAAAGAAGGTTGATAGATGATCTCAAGATGTCACATGTTCTTATTGATTGGAATGTTGAAGGATTCCAATTTTCCTTGTTCTGTCTGTTGGCAATACATCGCCTACCGAATGCTATCAGCAGCCATAAAAAAATCATTTTACCACCACTTAGCCAGTTCTCAAATTGATGATGTCATTACAGTTGTCATTTATCATGGTTAGTCATAGTTAATGGAAGAAAAAAAAATCTTGATCAAATCTTATCTCATTTGTTTGGTGCACGTACGTCGGCAAGCTGCAATTTTCAGCACGCGTTTCTGCCAGATCTGATCGAAATTGCACATTTGGTAGCCATTAAATGGAATCCCATTTAACATGTTGAGGCACACACACTGTATATCTATGACAAATCTTATCAGATGTGCTTGTCATTTGTCACATTTATGTGGGATCTTATTACATGACACAAGAAACTCTGGATCTTAAGAAAATGAAGCTCCTTTTAGCTATGAAGATCCTGCATTAAGTTGGATCACTCGCTGATTTGAAAAGTGGCAAATGATGAAGTCTTGATTGCAGGTCTGCACTGGTCTTTGTTTTTGTTTGTTTTAGGGTGCAAGGTTGGTCAGTTTCTATTGGTTTGGAACCTGTCATCCATCTCCCCTTAAAAAATATTGAACCTTGCTGCATTCCTTCCGAAACAAGGTGTGGTTTTTTTTTTAAAGCTCTAATGATCAGATGCCTCCCTCCGTTTCTGTCTCACTCTCTTTCATCTCTCGAGCTGTCTCTCTCTCTCAACCCCCAGACAGACCCTCCCATCGGAGGCCGTTTCCCTCCCGTCTGGCTCGTCCCCTTCCTTTCACCCAGCTGACCCCACCACATCCTCAGAGAGTCTGTCTGTCTGGTTCTCCTTCATCCAGATAGACCACTTTTGGTCCTGGTCATCCCTATTTCATGGTACCGGTGTCCGGTTATCTCTTCTGCTCTTGCGACTCCGTCTTTGTTTCCAGCAACGCAGATCATTTGCTTTTATTTCCCCTTGATTCTCTTCTTTTCGTGCGCTGCAACCGCACAGATGTCTGGCTTGGCCTGCAACACCTGCCTCGCCATGTGTTACTACCAAGTGTTGCCTTCGACTGCAGTGCCCAGAAAGCCTGACTCACGTGCGCCGCGCGCACGGGTGTGTGTGTGTGTGTGTGTGTGTGTGTGTGTGTGTGTGTGTGTGTGTGTGTGTGTGTGTGTGTGTGTTTGGGGTTGGGGGAGTAGAAGCCACAGAGTGGATTAGCCATGAATATTCATGATCTTGTGGCTATACCACCAAAACGAAACTGATAACACAGAGAAGACTCCACCCATGCAAAAAAAAATAAGAGAGCGCAAAGTGTAGATGACACGGAGACTGAAAGGAAAGTGATGAGACACAAGGAAGTAGCAGCAGGAGAAGGCGGAAGAGCAGCGATTTTCCCGAACCGATGGGGGGGAAGAGAGGCGAAACATCCTTTCGCCACAGGATAGCGCGGCCTCTCGGGTCGAACATAAAAAAAAGCCCAAGTCAGCATGTGGTACATGAAGGATGATGTCAAGTTGAGAAGGGCATAGCAATTTCATTTCTTGAGTAGGGGTAATGTTTTCCAATGGCAAAGACAAATACTGTACATTCAAATGAAGAAAAGCAACGTCTGTCCATTTGTGAGTTACCGGGCTACTTTCTGGTTCGTGCGGGATGACATATGAGTCTGGCATTGGAATACTAAGGCCTGGGAAAATGTTTTCATTGTCAGACTGTGCAATGCTTGACTTCAACAGAAAAAATAAGCAACACCAGAGCAGAAGAGTTGACAAAAATTAGTGAATTTCCCGAGAATTTGCCTCAGCTCACAGTCAGGTTAAAATGCAATATAACGGACTGAGATTGTCATGGTACAGCTATCTTACAAGTGCAAATTACTGCAGTTGCTTTGCTTTTCAACTGTTTTACCCAGCACTCAGAAGAATGTCTTCAATTTTGGATGAATAACCTCCACTGGCAGAGCTGGGGGGGGGGCTTGTGGGCATTGGTAGCAGTAGTAAGAACCATTGTGGGGATGCTCATGTCGTAACGATGAGAAAAGCGTTTGACACTCAAGTGGAAAGGGGGATGAGGCATAGGAAAAAGCGAGGGACATTTCGGCAGAAAAAAGCGGGAAAGAGACGATAGCATGATTTGTTCGATAATGTTGTATTTTCCCCATTACCCGCCACCCCCTGTTTGGATGTTGATTGTTGATCACGTGTTTCCAAGTTTGTGTTTTGTGGACCCGCTGAGATAGCCCCGGCCACCCCGTGGCTGCCCAAGGATACAAGTCTAGCTCAATGAGACTAAAAACTCCACTGGTGCTTTTTAGCAGTAGTAAGAACCATTGTGGGGATGCTCATGTTGTAACGATGAGAAAATACATTCATCGATCAAAGCTGGGAGAAGACTGCAAATGAAAAAAACGTTTGACACTCAAGTGGGAAGGGGGACGAGGCATAGGAAAAAGCGAGGGACATTTCAGCAGAAAAAAGCGGGAAAGAGACGATAGCATGTCGACCGTTGGGGTGAGGGGCAGCACATCCAAGTGGACCAAGACCCTTGTGGCTGTTATTCTCTCCTTCATGTCTTGCCAAAAAGGGAGATTATACCAGCTATGCTTTCTCCAATGGTGGTGGTGGTGGTGGGGTGGAGGATATTGGGAGGGCTAGTGGACTCATCCGTTCTTAACGTCCTCTCATTTCCCTCCCCCACAGATGACATTTTCTGGTGGTATGGACCGGGCCTAAAACCAGAGCAAAGCATATCACTTCATTTCATAAGGCAGACAGGCACTTGCACGAAAAATGATGCAAACTATCTGGAATTAGTCATATTTCTGCATAAAAATGACCATAAAATGAGATATGGTCTTCATCTAGCTCAAACAGTATTTTTTAGCAAAAATAGCCGATGGTGTTTTTGTTGTTGTTCGTTATTCGTTTGAATTGATATTGTAACAGTAAGTGAAAATGACGTGAGAAACGAAGTGAAGTACAGTGTTTCGAAAACTAGTGCTCATGCAATTTCCTTTCTTTCCTTCTTTCGTTCTTTTATCACTGGCTGTTTGAGGTGGATTTGAAAACATTTTCTGAGTGCCCCCAACCATCATTGGCTGCCGCTCCACCGGGCCGAATGCGACCATTCCCTCTCAAAGAAACGACAGAAAAGACGCGGCTGCGGCGGGTTCGGATGGGCCCGCCAAGGTCGACGTTCCGAAAGCGGATCTTTTGTCTCGGAAAGTTGATGTTCAAAGCCCAAGCCGAGACCACACAAAACGGGCCTGCCGCGTGCACGCGCATTCACGGGGCCGTGATGCCAGCGCGTGAAGGAAGGAAGGAAGGAAGGTCAATTCCAACCTATTGATTGCTTCGACTTTTGAATGCAGCGACCCATTCATTCAGCAGGTTGTTGTCGGGCTGTTACATAACGGCGCCAAACGACCGTCCCTTTGACACAACGAATTTTTGACCCGTTTCGTGTGTAAGAGCATCTTAAATCCGTTAAGAGGCATTTCGCTGCTAAGAAGATTATGCCAGCGCCATATTCTGCTTTTGGGCCGTATGTTTATGAGAGCAAGCTGAAGAGCGTTTTTGGCGTTAAGCGTCAAGTTGAGTCCGAAATCAAGCCAATTAAGTTCTTTCAGTCTTGATTAAGATTATAGTCTGGTGCAACCCTATGTCTTATTTGTCCTATTTCGTTCATTTTGCCGAGAACATCGTTTAGCAGACGTGCTGTGGCAATAATCTGGTTTGCATGCGTGTGTGCCGGACACGCCGTCGCTTTAGACGACGTTAATATTGAGAGCCGAATTATTTTTTAATAGAGATTTTTAAATTAAAAAAAAAAAACACGACTACACCCCGTTTATTTAAATTCTTCAGCAGATTTATTCAAAAAGGGATTTGTACAACGGGGCGTGGATGGATACGTTGACTGTATTTCTACTTCATCACGTTATTTAACAAAATATTAAAATATTTGCTTATAATTTGCTTTGATTTTCGTTTGGCCGTTTCAAATCATTTTGATCAGACTTCACAACGGAGCAGGAGTCAAAGCAGCTCGTGTCTTAAATTCAATAGTATTATTTTAGCTTTGAGAAAAATATACGTTGATGGAAAACTTCCCTCTTTAAATAAATAATTATGATTGAGAAAATAAACACATTCCAGAATGGGCAAATAGACCAAATGACTCTCGCCTCACTCAGAAACCGACACTGGCCAAAACACTTTATTTGTTGACAAAACAACCGCAACGAGAACCTCATTCGATCAAATAAAACAAACGATGTTTTCATCTTGAAAAGAGAAGGAAGTACATATACTGATGTTCTGCCTTTAAATTAAATTATTTTCGAACGTGACTAAAGCCACCCAAGAACATCGGAGATGTGAAGCTCAAAAAAGTGACGCCTTGTTCTTTGCAGACTTCATCGAGCCACGCAACTTGGAGGCCACACAATAAAAAATATTCCCGAAAATATCGGAATCATCGCGAATTAAACACAGCTTCATATTTTCCATTTAATCTCCGCACCTTTGCACCTCCATTTTTTGCCTTTGACGGGAGAAGCAAGCCCGCGGGGCCCCCAAAACGTTCTGGAATTGTTGCCATCAATCCACGACGACAACTTGCGTCTCGATTCAGGAAATTCGTCACCCAGGCCTTACACGTCATCGAATACGGACCCGGCTAGAGTTTGTCGTTGACATTTCAAATGAATGGTTTGGATTGTAAAATGTGAATTTCAGGTACGCGTGGAAAACATCATCCAAACAAGCCCCCCGCCCCCCACCTCGGAGCTTTTATCGCGTCCTTGCCGATCACATGGGATGCCCCCGTGCCTCCTTAGGATTTGGTTATTTTAATCAGCGACGTGACTCGAAGAGCTCCCGATACTCTTAGATCGCATTTCGTGGCCCCCACCCCCGGTCCAAAATAAAGTGTTTTCCACGAGCGGCACCGCGGCAGCCGAACCGATCCCGGCTCCCTCCCGACTGCGCGCGTCGGTCCCGAGCTGCGCCGGAGCCGGTGCGGGCTCGCTAATCCCCCCCTCCTGCGTCCACGCTTTTCCTCTGAGCCGCTATTTAATTCCTCTAAACCCCCAGCTGCCGCCCTGCTTCCTCACTGAGCGCGACAGACTGCGCGCCGCTGCGGTTATTAATAATTCAGCCGCCCTCCGCTCCGCGGCCGCAGGAGGAGACCGCGCGTCCTCCCTCGCCCGCCTGCTCCGGCTCTGCGTGCGCTCAGCGACCGCGCGGTTCTTCTTCTTCTCCTTCTTCTTTTTATTTGGTTGTTTTTCAACTCACTTTATCGCTGCCGCCGACGAGGCACATCGAGCGTGTCGTCGCCTCGGCGAGCTGCGGAGAGCGACGCCCGACCGCAACTTTCGCCGCACGTGGAGCGAAGAAGCCCGCACTTGAGTGAAAACATGCAACCGGTTCGAATCGGTGAGCGGGTCGGCTGACGAGACTTGCACGACGCACGCTCGAAGCCGGAGAGAGCGCTGCCTCTTAAATCGGGGGGGGGGGGCGAATTTCGTGGAAATATGACGCACCTTGCATGAAGAAGTCAAGAAGCAGACGACTTGGATTACAGCCTGTAGTTTACGTTTCAAATCGACAACAATGTTGAGCAGACCGTATTTGCTTCCGGTATTATAAGGCTAAGCTGAACGACAAGCCGAGCCGTTTCTTTTCTCCCACAAACTTTTTTTTTTTTTTTTGCGGGGGGAAGCCGAACTTTTTTTTTTTTTTTAGAGTGGAAAATGGGTCCCTGAGAGGGCTTTGGCATCTTTCCCTCCACCACAATGGTACGTGCTGTGTAAACCAATAATTTGCTCATTTGTGCAGTCATCTTTTAACGTGATTGTCGCAACGCATGCATTTAATTTGTTTGTTTGTTTTTTTTCTAATATGTCTGTGCGTATATCGTGCCAAGGTCCCACCACATCACTTTTTAAAAATTGGAGCTAATATGGTCTTAAATAATGCCGTTGTGTTGTCAAGAAAATATCCTGTTTGCTTTCTCCGTCGCTCTGAGCTGTCCTGATGAGTGAAGTCTTAATATGCCTCCTCCCTACACTATTAATAGTGACAGATATGATACGCACTTTCATATCATACGGTGTAAGCAGACAAGCCACAAGTTGTATAAAGGTTGTTGTTCAAGTGCTTGCAAAGTCAAAGTTATCTTTGGAAACTTGGCTGCAAGAGCCTCTCTCAATAATGCACTTTTTGTGTGTGTGTGTGTGTGTGTGTGTGTGTGTGTGTGTGTGTGTGTGTGTGTGTGTGTGTGTGTGTGTGTGAGATGATGCAAAATGTGTCCGTTCTGTATATTGGTTACTTGTCCAATTCAGTGATTGGTTGATTTATTAATTATTTTTTTCACACACCACAAAGAAAAGTTTGTGAGAACAATCATTTTACCAATAGCATCTTAAAATGGTCGATCTATGCTCCCGGTTTGTTGAAATTGGCAAACGTAGCCTTCGGATGCAAAACCTTGCCGCGGACTGTCAGCCGCTGTAACAAAACAAAAGGGAAAAAAAGTGTGTAGTTTGAGCTGATGAGCTGTGATATATAACTCGCACATCGTTGACCCTCGGATGAGTTCTATTTTCTTCTTTTTCCAGCGTTGAACTTGAGCCAGTAGTGAGGGGAACCTCCCACGTACAACCTTGGCGCGTCTCAAGTTCCGGCAAACCATCTTATTTGCACATGAATATGGCAGATTATTAGTATGAATAATGATTTGTTTACAAGAATCCGAGCTAACGTGGCAGCTGTTCAAAAAAAAAAAAGCTCCTCAGTAAAAAGGATACAGAATTCAGGACAAGCCTCGTGTGGGTTTGCCTTGACTTGCAAGTCTCCTCTCGAGCAACCCGTTTTATTTTTAAAATAACAGCAAAGTTCGCAGCAAATAATTTTGCAGTGCGGTGAGGTGTCAAGGTTTGTCTGGAGTGACACACTCGCACACCACTTGGATGATTTATAGCCGCCGCTATCATGAGTTGTCCAAATGGGATGTTGAAACTCTTGAACCTCAAAAAGGTTTGTCTCTAAAAATATGAGTTGAAGAGGTGATCACTCAGCATCCAAACAAGACAAATGAGACATATTTTCCGATTTAATTGGAGGATGGGCCATGGAGGCGTCATGAATACTGGACTTTGGGACACTGAATCACAGACATTGGTTTTGCCCTTTTCGGAAGTCATGGCCATAGTCTGTCCCCACTTCAAACTGTGTTTCTGAAAACACGCGTGGCAGGTCAACACTCCAAATTGTCGCTGAGTGTGAGCGCGGGGGGGTTGTTGGTCTACGTGCGCACTACAATTGGCTGGCGACCAGTTCAGGGTGTCCCCGCCTTCTATTTGAAGACGGCTGGGATAGGCTCCAGCACGGCCCGCGACCCTCCTGAGGATAAAGCGGATCAGAAAATGGATGGGTGGATGGTATCATTTGAAAAATGAGAGAACCACCATCAACGGCACGTGAAGCACATGCAGTCGATGCCCGGGGGCGAGCGCACGTATAGGAGGCATCCTCCCAAAAAATATTGTCGAGCGGGTGCAGACGAAAGGTTTTACGGCCTGCTGTCGATACGTCGCTGTCATCTGTTAGGCTGGGTTCCTTGCTCTTTCATACGAATGTCCCATCTTTGATGGGGGTGTGCAGACGGAATCATTTGCCATTCGCCGTCGATAAACATTTGTCGATACAAACATTCTTCTGGTTAACATTTTCTGTGCATTGAAATTTTTTTTTTTCATCAAGGTGGAGCGAAGCGAATGCCTCCCCCGC